AGCTTGGAGCCTGTTTCAGATTCTGTGTCTCCCTCTCTCTGACCCTCCCCCGTTCATGCTCTCTCTCTGTCTCAAAAATAAATAAACGTTAAAAAAAAATTTTAAAAGCTAAACAGGATCCACCAGGGAGCTGGCCTAAGGCTGGCCTGGAGGGCTGGCAGCCATGTGGGAGAAAAGAGTGTATCCAAAGAAAGTCGGGGGAGGGAGAGTGGGGGAGAAGGAATAGGCTTCCCCTGGGAACATCAGCTGCTGTGACACCCCAAAATCAAAATATACAGTGGTCCCACCAAGAGAGAAATTCATTTCTCACTCACCTCATTTCTTGCTTACATTTGGATCTGCTGGCTTGCTTCTAAGCAATGACTTGGGATCCAGGCTTCTTCGACCATCGAGAACTAGCCCCCCAACTGAAAAAGAACTGTCTCCCTCTCTGCCACTCTGGGAGTGGTCTCCATTTGAACAGGGAGTGAGCCTCTGGGAAAGGCACCTGTGGTACTCCACCATGGTGGCCTGAAGTGACACGTATCCCTTCCTCTCACATTCCATCACGAGCACTGGCTTACTGCCACATCGGTGGGGAATATAGCTGCTTCCAATCACCACTGTGCCCCACGAGAGGGGACTGCAGTGACTATCTCTGCCATACTCTCGCCTCTGAGGACCTCTGCCCCAGCTTCAGTGAGATGCGGGTCATAACCTGGGCAGCTGTGACCGACCTTAGACCCCTTTCAGAGCTCCACCTCTAGGAAACCTGACCCAACAAAATACCCTTAAATTTGACCAACTGGATTTTACTGTAGAGCAGACGGGGGGGGGGGGGCAGTGAGCTCTGAGACATATCAGGGCTCTGAGCCCCAGCCCAGGAGGCTCTTCTGGCTTTAGGGCTCTTGGGAAGCTCATCCTTCACCCATTGAATGGTACAGCAGCTCTTGCTCTGTCCCCTGCCCTTGCCAAGCCCGTGTACCTTCCGGGACTGCAAAGCCATTTTATGGCAGACCCCGAAGGCCCATCTGTTGTGGGAGAAACATTCCAGGCTTCCCCAAAGGGAAGTGAAACACGACTCTTTGGGCAACACCTACCATCCAGGAGCCTGTGCCCTGTCCCCTGATGTGGATAGCCAAGTGCAAACAGAGATGGCGGCACACGCTCTATGGGGGAATCCCTTAGTCTCTTTAACCTTTTAGCTGGAGGAGTTTATTGCCCCTTTCTCCAGTTAATCAGAGAAGACTTCCTGGGGGAGGTGGCATGGGTGAGCTGCTCAAAGGAAAGCTCTGAAGGATCTTAGGTCAGAGAACACGGCTTCCAATGCCTCTTTCCCTCTTCATGCTGGCAGGTGGGGGCGTTTTTTCGTTTTTTCTCTGAGCCCTGTACCTGCCTCCCACAGGTACAGGAGAGGTTCCTGGCCGATGGGAACGACCGGCTGAAGCTGGTGGTGCTGCTCTGCGGAGAGGACGATGAGAAGGTGCAGAACGCGGCCGCAGGGGCGCTGGCCATGCTGACAGCAGCACATAAGAAACTGTGCCTCAAGATGACCCAAGTGGTGAGAGCGGGCCCTGGGGGTGGAAAGGGGACTGTCTTGTGTGGTCCTCTATGGGGAGGCCGGCCTCTGTGGTAACACTTCCCAGGCCCCTGGGTACCTGTTCCTACGACCTAAGAAGGAGCGTCTATACCGTCTGGCCCCCTACCTCCACGGCTGGGGCTCCCAGGTGTGCTAACTCAGGTCCCTCCCACTGTACCTCCACCCACTGCCTTTGGTGGTGCTTACAGCTCATTAGTTCAGATTGATGACAAGGATGGCCACAACACTAACTACTGTGGGGGAGCCCCCGAGCTCCCCGAGAGGAGCATGGATGTGGTTGGGGTGCCACAGGGAACTGGCGGTTGGGCAAAGAGATGGCAGATTCTCTCACGTGAACGCGGTGATCAGATCCTTCGGTGGGACTGTGGCCATCTCAGCAAAGTGGTATAAACACAGCTGCGGACCCGGCCACGCAAGGTGCAGATGTCTTTAGCCCACCAAACAACCTAGTTTGTAGGCGTCATCTCCACTGAAGGCAAAAACTGTAAACGTCTTGGTTCAAATGTACTCAAGTCTGCTTTAAAGGAAGGCTCTTTTAGACAGTTTGTGGTGGTGGTGGTGGTGGTGTGTGTGTGTGTGTGTGTGTGTTCCACAGGCGCTTATGCTGCCTGGCACCAGGGAAGGGTCTCTCAGCTGGATGGAGCTCATCCTGGTTGGTAAGGCATTTCCCCGTAAGGCAAGTTTCTCAGAACTGAGAGGTGTGTGAGTCACCTGGAGGGCTGGTGAAAACGCTTTCCCTAGATATTCTGCATCAATAGATGAGAGGTGGGGTGCCTCCAGCCTGAGGACCACACTTTGAAACCGCTGCCCCGAGGTGGCCTCTGCTGGAGTCACTGGTCACACAACATCTGTCAACAGGCTCCCACAGGGTGCTCTGCGACTCGCCCGCTTACCGTGCTGCAGACACTCCTCTAAATGTTTACATCGATTAAGTTGTTCCATCCTTCCAACAGCCCTGTGTGGTGGATATGTTTATTATTATCCCCATTTACCGGTGAGTGCAGAAAAGTAACCCACTCAAGATCACATCGCCGGGTAGTTGGGAAGGGATTGGAATCCTTCAAGATTGCTGACCCTCTCCCAGCCACTTCTTCCTTCCGAAATCTTGGCTTCATTTCTGTGCCCGGGGAGCACTGGCACCAGACCTGTTATCAGTTACCCATCAGCATTCAACCTTCCCCCTGAACTCTACCGCAGCTAGCTGAATTTTCGTTTCCTTTCCTTGTGGTGCGCTCGGTGCAGAGTTTACCAAAATCTGCTTAGAAGCTGAAGAGCCAATAATTAGTCTGTCCTTTCCCCCTGTGCCTGTCTCCCCATCTGTAAGTGGTGCCTGTGGGAAGCTGCCCCCGTTGGCAAACGGAGGGTGAGGTAATAAGTATACGAGGAAGCAAAGGGGAAATCCTTGGACTACTGCATAAAATCATAACCCCCATCCACGCCTCCTTGTTGAGCACTTTACTGTGCTCCGGCCACCATGCTAAGCAATTTCTTGCACCATATCACTGCATCAGAACAATGTGAAGAAGTAGGTATATTAGATGACAGAGGGGCTCTCGAGACTTGGAGAGGTTCAGAACTTACCTAAGGTCACATTTGGTTAAGTAGTTGAGCTGGGACCTGAACATTGATCTCTCTGACTCCAAGACCCATACCAATAAGTCTCCTACTCTGCTGCTCATGTGTGTCTGTTGAATGTTGTAAAGTCAAGCCTCCTGGTTCTATGCTTAGCTCCAACTCTGTCTTCTGGGCCGATCAGAATGGTTTGGATTCCTGTCTTCCCCACGCACAGTAGTTGGGTTGCTTCACAACCGGGAATGGAGGAGAGAGATAGAGGAGGGATGGTGGAGTGCAAGCCCAGGGCATGCCTGGTGGTCATATCTCTAAGGGCACTGGGTTAGCAAGGGGTGCCTGGGTGGCTCAGTTGGGTTAAGCATCCAACTTCAGCTCAGGTCATGATCTCACAGTTCATGGGTTCAAACCCTGCGTTGGGCTTTGTGCTGACGGCTCAGAGCCTGGAGCTTGTTTCAGATTCTTGCATCTCCCTCTCTCTCTGCGCCTCACCTGCTCACTCTCTCCTTCAAAAATAAATAAACATATATAAAAAAAGAAAATATTGCATTCTTAGCAACTATAAGAATATTTGTGGTAAGTTATGCATTGTTCTGAAAAAATTAAGAAGCCTATGTAACGACCTGGTTCATGCAAATATGAGCCAGAGGAGAAAAGCAGACAAAAACCAAAATTTATGCCTGGGTGGCTCAGTCAGTTGAGCGTGCAACTTCAGCTCATGTCACGATCTCATAGCTCGTGAGTTCGAGCCCCACATCGTGGTCCGTGCTGACAGCTCAGAGCCTGGAGCCTGCTTCGGATTCTGTGTCTCCCTCTCTCTCTGTCCCTAACCCACTCACATTCTGTTTCTGCCTCTCTCAAAAATGAATAAACATTAAAAAAAAATAAGGGCACCTGGGTTGGCAAGAAGCAGTCATTGCTCATGTGCTCAAGGCTAGAATTCTCCTTTCTGAACACTCTCCATCACCATTCTAATTAGGCATGCGGGGGCCCTGTCCCTTTGCTTCTCAGATGCATAAGAAAATAAATGAATGGGTGGATGTTCATTCTCTACTATTCCCAGATGTGTGACCATAGCTAAGTTACTCCCACTTCCTAGACCTCAGCTCCCCCACTTATAAAATGAAATGGATTGGACTATGTCAAGTTCCTTTTAGTTTTCTAATTCTTGCCCTGGCTCTGGTAAGGAGATGGGCATCAGCCACCTAGTCCCGAGGGGCTCAGATAGGCATAAACTGAGTCCCAACAGATAACCAGACATGTGCTTGTCCTTTCAGAGCCCAGAATCTGGGCCTTACCAGCGCCTTCGGTTTATCTTGTCCCAAATATCCAGTCTCTGTGCCTCCACTGATTCCTCCAATCCTTCTTTATCCACAACTCCCCTCCAGACAACTCAGTGGTTGGAGATCCTCCAGCGGCTTTGCCTGCACGACCGGCTGTCAGTCCAACACCGGGGCCTGGTCATTGCCTACAACCTGCTGGCAGCAGATGCTGAGCTGGCCAAGAAGCTGGTGGAGAGTGAACTGCTGGAGATCCTGACTGTAGTGGGCAAACAAGAGCCAGACGAGAAGAGGGCAGAAGTGGTTCAGACAGCCCGGGAATGTCTCATCAAGTGCATGGATTATGGCTTCATTAAACCAGTGTCTTAGACAGGGGCCCACAGGGCTGCTAGGGCTGGTTCTGTACTATGAAGAGTCCTAAGCTGAGAACTCCTGGGGTGTCAGTTCAGCTAGGGATCATAGCAGTGACAATGAAGTCTCCATATAAAAGAAAAGACTTGACTGTTTCTTGAGTTGTCAATCTTCCTCTTTTCCCTAGGAAAGTTTGGATGTTTCACTGGCTGTCTTGCTCCCTGTCTTTTACATCTGTCATGTTCCAAAAATTCCTAGAATGATTTTCATCAGTGATTGGGAAGACAAGTTGGATAATTCTTTCTGTACCCATTCCCAAATCCAGGATAATGGGCTGAATTCTTTGTATTTTGGAAAATGGATTGTGTGGTAAGGTAGGACCTAATGGGTGTGTGAATATAAAGGTTTAGTGCTGATCTATCTGGAAGTTGAGCTGTGCTGGTTTTCATAGCCTGTCTCGCATATGTTTGAGTAAGACTGCCTAGAATTGCATGTTTTAGCTGCAGTGCCCAGCCCCATGCCCAGTCCCATCACTCAGCTGTGATGGAAATACAGTTTATGTTCAACAGCCTGATATGCATTTTTGCAATTTGCTTGGGAAAACCATCCCAGCAAGATGGGCATAATGAGTACAAATAAGATAAACTCAGAGTACTTTAAGAAAAGAAAGTTGATTGGCTCGTATAGCTTGTTTATCTAGGAAAAGTTTGACATTGTTAGATCCAGGGTTTAAATGTTGTCACCAACATTACTTTCTGTGTGGGTATCTTTCTCTCTCTCTCATACTCCCCCCACCCATATCTTGGCTTTGATTTCCTCTGGGTTGACCTTATTTTCTGGCAGCCTCTCTCCATGTGGTAGGAAAGATATTCCCAGAAGCTCCAGACTTACATAGTTATTATAGTTCCTAATTATGGGAGAGAAGAGAGAGGACCATTCTCAATGACCCAGCAAAACTCCCAGGGATGACTCTAATATGTCTAGCGTGCATCACATTTCCATTTATCGCATTAACAGAATAGAGAAGAAAAATGATACGGTTATCTGAATAGATTCAGGAAAAACATTTGATAAAATTAAACAATTTGTGATAAAAGTTTTCAATAAACTAAAAGTAGGAGACTTCCTTAATCGGACAAAGATCACAGAAACTCTACAGCCAGTGTCCTAGCTCATGATCTCCCTGCGATGGATGAGACAATACTTGTTATTACCAATTTTATTCAACCTTGTGCTGGAGGTTTTAACTAGGGCGATAAAGCAAGAAAGGGAAATAAAAAGCATAAAGATTGAAAAATCAAGAAATAGAACTTTCAACTTATTCACACAGCGGGATTATACATGAATGCAATCTGAAAATATCTACAGGTAAGCTTTTAGAAATAATAAGTGAATTTAGATACAAGGTCAATTTACAAAAGTCAATTGTGTTTCTGAATACCTGTACCAAGCAATGAGAAAATTGAAATTTAAAAGACAGTGCAATTTATAATAACATAAAACACATCATGGGGCTCCCGGTTGGCTCAGTCAGTTAAGCATCCGACTTCGGCTGAGCTCATGATCTCACCATTTGTGGGTTTGAGCCCCGCATCAGACTCTGTGCTGACAGCTCAGAGCCTGGAGCCTGCTTCAGATTCTGTCTGTCTCTCTCTCTCTCTGCCCCTCCCCCACTCATGCTCTGTACCTCTCTCTCAAAAATAAATAAACATTAAAAACAACCAACGTATCAGATGCCTAGGAATGAATCATGGGAAAGATTTTGAAGGACTCTGTGCAGAAAACTTTAAAGTATTATTGAGAGAAAAAATGAAAGTCAACCTATGAGAGATATTACCATGATCATGGATTAGATGACTCAACATTATAGAGATGCAAATTCTCCCCAAATTTATATATATATATATATATATATATATATATATATATATATATATATATATATATATATATTCTGTGAAATACCAATCAAAGTTTGAGTCTTTTGGGGAATGGAGACTGATAAATTGTTTTAAAAACATATATACTTACACACACACACACACACACACACACACAGAGTCAAGAATAGTAATGATTATCTTGAAGAAGAATAAAGTTGGAGCCAACTACTTGAACAGTTACTTCATAAAAGAGGCCAATACATATATAGTAAGATGCTCAATCTTACCAGACATCAGGCAAATGGAAAATAAAATTATTATGAGAAACCACAGTAGACACATCACAATGGCTAATATTTAAAACACTGACAGGGACACCTGACTAGCTCAATCAGAAGAGCATGCAACTCTTGATTCCTAGGTTGTGGGTTCAAGTCCCACCTTGGGTGTAGAGATTACTTAAATAAATAAATAAACAAACTTTTAAAAATGTGCAACAACAACCACCGGCAAAATCAAGCGCCAGTGAAACTGTGGAGTAACTGGAACTCTTATCCATTGTGGGTGGGCATGCAAATTGCTACAGCCACTTAGGAAAATGGCATTTGACAGTATCCTCTAAAAGCACAAGCACAGTCAGCATCTCCTAAGTACGCAGCCAACAGAAATATGTGCACCAAGAAAACATGTATAGCCATGAGATAACACTTTTCATCATAGCCGCCTAAGTGTAAGTAACCCCAATGTCCACAGAAAACGGATACATTGGCATACACCAATGCGCACCAATGTAAGTGCACTTACAAAAGTGCAAAGAACAAACTATTGCTGCCTACAATGTGATGGTAACTGACATAATACTCAGTGAAAGAAGCTGGACCTCCCAGAGTATACTGTATAGGACATAATATGGGTTCAGAACCAGGAAAAACTAGCCTACGATCTTAAAAAGTCAATTTAGTGTTTACCTGCAGGGAGAAAGGAGTGGCTAGTGAGGGGGTGTGGCACAGAGAGTCTCTGGGTGTGTCCCAGGTCTGGGTGGGTGTGTCCCAGGTCTGGGTGGGTGTGTCCCAGGTCTGGGTGGGTGTGTCCCAGGTCTGGGTGGGTTCGCTTTCATCAACCTTATTATTTGTGCATTTTTCTGTATAACGCTGTGTTTTTAAAGACTTTTAAAGAAGTGAATAATGTATTTCTGTTAGAGTGTGAGGATGACATAAAATAATGGATCCAAAGCACCTGGTTCTTTGTATATGAGTAGTCAGTATTAATTAATTAATTCCCTTCCTTTAGTCTGTTTGATAGTCCCTGCTCCTTATGGGCCAGTTGGAGTGTGATACCAGGATGAGCTCCCTCATTCGTGGATCTCTACTTCCACGGGTCACTTGCGGGGAATGGGGACATGGTTCCCGTTTCCAAATCCTCCCAAGGAGTGGCTGCCGTCTGTCCCCAGTGTGTTTAGGCAACGTAAGGGTTCTGGTCAGGAAAGCGGGCGGTGGTGAAATGGAGAAAGTTCTGTACACCGAGGTTCCGAGGCAGACTGGCCCGAGGGCGCCTGTGAGAGCAGCAGCTGGAGCCAGGATTGGATTAAACCGCCCAGGAACCCCCACTATGTGTGTAGTCCCCAGGACACGCGGGTTCAATCATCTCTCCACGCGGCTTGCTCTGGAGCCCCTCGTCTTCTTGGGCATGTTGGAGTCCCGGCAGGGCGCGTGGCGCGGAACCTGGAACCACGCTAGTGCCCAGAGAATACGAGCTCGACTTTGTTTTCCCTGAACCCCAACACCAGCGCCTTTCACCATCGATAGCCAAATCCTAGCTCTCTGCCTTTGACTCGTATGCTTTAAGAATGTCAGCAATACGACAAAAAGGGGAAGAGTGTGCGTTTGCAGAATCAGAGGCGTGATTTCCTACCTCCTTCTCCCCCACGTCGCCCACACTCACTCCTTTCCCCGGGCAGGGGACAGGGCGCACACATCTGGGCAAGTCAAATAGGAACCCACCTGCTGGAAGCATCCTCTGGGGGTGGGAGCGCAGGAGCCGGAGCGGGGAGGCCACTCGGGTCCACCCGCCATAGCCACCTGTTGTCCTTCCAGGCGCGGATGCCCGGATCGGGCAGATGCTGTTGTAGCTCGGTGCCCCCACCTCCGTGCCACCCTAGCCCGGCGGCGTGCCCCAGGAATACAAGGAGCGGACACAGGCGGGGGGAGGCTGGAGCATGCTGGTGCCTCCTCGGAGACGCCTACGCGGTGGGAGGCGAGGGGGTAGGGAAGTTCTTCCAGCAGCTTGGCTCAGGTGCTCAAAGCCTCGCCTCTCCCCATCCCTCAGGGGTCTGGTCCACTCCCGATCACCGTCTGCAGGACGCGGACCATTGCAGCGGGCGCTGGCCCGCGCGCTCGTCTCCGGGCCCGGCGTGGTCGCTTCTCGGCTCCAGCCTCTGCAGAGACTTCCCTAGAAAGACGAGTTGTGGCGGTCTCAAGGCCGGGGTGACGTGGGCTGCGGGCGGGTGGGGCGGGTGGAGAGGGAGCGAAGCCAGACGCCACCACCTGCGCGCACGGGGAAGCACAGAGCACACAGAGAGGAGGGGTCTCTGGGGCGCTAGAGAGGCAGTGGCAGCCTGGTGTGACAGCGAAGGCCCCTTTGCGCGGACAGGTCCAAGGACGCTCAGTCGGACGCGAGTCTCCAGAGTTCCTGGACGTCCCTCTTCCCCCAGGTTCTGAGAGCAGGCAGAGGCGTGGAGAGGGAGTTCCCAAGGCACCAGCTGTGGTGCAGACATGCGGATAGCTTACACAGTACTCTCCTTTACGATTGAACAATCTATAAAGGGGACACAGAAAGGGAAACGCCCCAGTACAGTAAAACACTAAGCCACAAAGAGGCAAAGACGTCTATCACCTCCCTTGTCTATAGGGTTCTGCCAATAGACTGACCTTTGGGGTTCCAAGATCGGTGGGCTGCTTCCCTCTCGATATTGAAGGTCCAAACCGGAAGCCATGGAAATACCAAGGTAATCGATTTCCTCATAGCCAGTACATTCTTTCATAAAATGTGAAAGATTTCAGAGGCAACAGCCACACCATAAGCCAAGATTCTGGGATCCAAGTGAGGTAGTTGAGCCTTGGGTCTCCAGTACAAGCA